TGTTGCTCAGTGGTTGAGCATCGACCCATGAACCAGGAGGCCTCGGTTCGATTCCCGGTCAGGGCATATGCCTTGGTGGCGGGCTCTCTCCCTAGGTAGGGGGCATAAGGGGCATGCAGGAGGCAGCAGATTGATGCTGTTTCTCTCTCATCAATGTTTCTATTTCTCTATCCCGCTCTCTTCCCCTCCCTCTAAAAATCAATAAAAACATTATTTAAAAAAGACTTAGGAATCAGATAGATGTGGGTTCAAATCCTGCCTCTGCTGCTTGCTAATCTCAGAAAAACTATGTTTTAAAAAAGACAATAGTACCCACCCCCTGGAATTGCTCTGAGTACTAACTCACATAATGTGTACAAAGTGCACAGCACTCAGTATCTCCTACATGCTTAGTAAGTGGTCACTGGTATGTTCAGTATACTCCAAAATTATTTCTCCTTCTGTCATAGCCTATGTCCATTTTTGGCATTACGTATTCACTAAGCCAAAAGCCTGAGTGAAATCTTCAAGGTATCTTCATCTTGGCATTATTCCCTAGATCCAATTCATGTATAGAACCTACAATTCCTGAATGTCTCTCAAATTAATCATTATCTCTCACCTGGACCCCCCTAACAACTCCCTCAATGGTCTCTCTAACTTCCATTTTCCCTTTCAGTGTATTTCCATTCTGCTGGCCAAAGGTTTGTTAAAAAAAAAAATTAAATTTAAATGAGCCCTGGCCAGTGTGGCTCAGTTGGTTGGGCATTGTCCCCTGCCCTGAAAGGTTGCTGGTTTGATTCTCAGTCAATGCCCAAGTTTCACTCTCAGGGTCTCGCTCTCACATTGATGTTTCTCTCTCTCTCTCTCTCTCTCTCTCTCTCTCTCTCAAAAAAAATCAATAAACTATTCTTTTTAAAAATTTTTAATAAAATCTCCAGGTTAACCCCTCCTTCCCTTCTCTTTCTTGACTGCAAAACTCCACTTCATCCTGCAAGGCCCAGCTCAAAAAGTCCCTCTTGCCCTGGCTGGTTTGGCTCAGTGGATAGAATGTTGGCCTGGGGACTGAAGGGTCCCTGGTTCAATTCCAGTCAAGGGCACATGCCTGGGTTGCAGGCTTCATCCCCAGTGGGGGCATGCAGGAGGCAGCCGATCCATGATTCCCTCTCATCACTGATGTTTCTCTCTCTCTCTTCCTCTCCCTTCTTCTCTGAAATCAATAAAAATATATTTTTTTTAAAAAAGTCCCTCTTACAAAAAGTTTTCCCAGACCATGGCCATTTTGATTCCTGGTCAGGGCACATACCTGGGTTTTGGGCTCAATCTCCAGTTTGGGACGTGCAAGAGGCAGCTGATCAGTGACCTTCTCACACCGATGTTTCTCTCTCCCTCTCCCTTCCTCTCTCTCTAAAATCAATTTAAAATTTTTTAAGTTTTTCCAGACTCCCTGGCTGCTAGAGGCTCCCTCCCCTAGTCTCTTCAGCCCCGTGGGAGACCAGGCCTGCCTTTATACTATACCTTTCTGTTTATGTGCCTGGTTATGGCCAGGACTGGGAGCAACTCAAGCACAGGGAGGGGATCGAATCTTTCACTTATCCAGCACAACTACCCAGGCCACAATACCCAGAGGAGACTACCCTCCCCCCACCCTCAGCCCCATTTGGGGAGGTTTTGGACATCACGTCTGTAGAAGGATGCCCACACAGTTGCAGGCGCTGACCTGTTTCTCCCTGTCCACTCCCATATACTTCATCGTCCCGGAAAAGCTGGCCCAGTTTCTGGGAAAAGACATAGACCCATTAAAAAAAAAACACACACACACAACAAATATATAATGTGGATGGTTAAACTCAGACTCAGCCACTTCCCAGCTTTGTGATTTGGGATAAATTTAGCCTCTCCAAGCCTCAGTTTTCTCATTGTAAAATGATGGTGATGACAGTATCTGCTTCATAGGATTGCTCTGAGTACTGTACTGTCCAGTTCAAATCTCACCCATGACCCAAATATTACAGATGAGAAGCAAGATCAGACAGGTAGTGACTCAGCCAAAGCCTCACTTGGCTAGTCTACAGGAAATAGACAGATGAGGTTTTCTGGTGGAAACTTTTGGACAGTCACCCAATCTAAGTGTTCCCAGACCTAGCTGCCCATCATAATCACCTGAAGCACTTGTTAAAAACGCCTTGGAGGGCAGAGAGTCTATTCACTAAGTTTTGGACAGGGCCCGGGAATCTGAGATCAGCCTGAAGTTGATTCACCTTTGGAAATTCGGATCACATGGGGGGCCCTCTCCACCTCCCAGTGGTCTCATGTGAGTGTGTGTGTACGACCTCTTGCTTTTCAGGTGGTCTCCCAGACCAGCCTGTAAAATATCTGTTCATGCCACTCTTCTGTTCAAAACCTTTCCATGGCTCCTCCCCACAGCCCTCAGAATCTAGGCCTCCCCTACTCAAGTTGCCCAGTATGATCAAGCTTCGGCACTCCCAATGCCTCTTTCTTCTCCAGGCCCTTGCATAGCTGTTGTCTGATCTTGGAACATTCTTCCCAGCCTCAGGCCCACTTCAGTGGCTAATACCTCATCATCTTTCCAGCACTCACCCTTATATTTTATCTGCTTGTTCACTGTTTTTTCCCATAAGACTGTAAGCTCCATAAGGGTAGAAATTACACTTGTTCAGGGCTGTCTCTTTGGTGTTGGTTGCCAACAGTGATTTAAAAAAAAATTTTTTTTCCCCAGAGACCAAGGGAGAGGGAGAAATAGAAACATCAATGATGAGAGAGGATCATTGATCAATTGCCTCTTGCACGCCCCCTACTGGGGATCAAGCCCAAAACCTGGGCATGTGCCCTTGACCAGAATTGAACTCGGGACCTTTCAGTTCACAGGTCAACGCTCTATCTATTGAGCCAAACCGGTTAAGGCCCAATAGTGATTTTTGATGAATGTTTGCTGAATAAATGAATGAGAATTGACTACTCCAGTGTGGCCCAGAAGAGCAGCCAAACCCCTGGAAATCTTTTCCTCCTGCTTCAGGGTGACACACCAACCCCAAGGACTACTCAGGGACTGGAAAGGTGGCTTTCTGGGTGGACACTGGGCCAGCTAAAAGCTCATGATTAGCCAGACCTGGGTCCACCACCCTCAGCCACATGACTTTAGACAGGTCACTTCACCTCTCCTGGGCTTCCACTTTCTCATCTGTCATCAGGATGAGCCACATCCGTGTAATGCACTCACCCTCTGCCTGACTCACAGTAAATATCCAATAAATATTAGCCATCAACACTAGGTTTGCCTGCTGTTTAGCTTCCAAGGAAAGTTCTGTTCTCTGCCCCCCACCGAAGTGCCCACCCATACGAGGCATCAGAAAATATGGTAGCACTAACTTGAACAGAGTGTTTCTGTTGCTGATCTGGAATGACTGGAGCAGAGGGAACACCGGGTCCTCAGGGGAAGGGAAACCAATATTGGTCCATATCGAAGAATAGCCACACTCCCTGTTTATTGAGCACATGCTGTGTGCCAAGGCACTGGGCCCTGGGCTCCCCTCCCTGGGGGCCCTGGAGGACTGGGAGGCAGAAAGGGAAAGGCCTGCGAAGGTGGAAGTCCTCCCCTCTTCGCCTCCAGGAGGGCCGGGACCTTCCCCAGCTGGCTCAGGCGATCTTTGCTCTCCCCTAACCGAGAGCTTGGCTCCCCGCCTCTCCTCCCTCCACCCCCAGCCCCCATGCACAGTGCAGAGGTGGCTTCTTCAGGAGAGAGTGGATGGCTGGAGTGCAGTTCTGCCGTTTTATTATTTCCTGGGATACTCAAGGGGATGTGGGAACAGCCACAGGTGTGGTGAGGGGGAAGCCCCCAGCTCCCCTCCCCAGCAGCTGGGACAGGGGAGAGGCCCAGGCGCCCTGGTCCTGGGTTGGTCCAGCCACTGTGGTCCCTGGGCCCGGTGGGCTGAGGGCAGAAGGTGAGCCCCGAGAGGGTGGGGCGGGCTCCTAGGCGGGGTTCGGGATTCTTCATAAAAAGCCACGAAGCTGATCCCCACGAAGCCCAGCCCCGCGGGGTGGGGGGGGGACGCA